TTCACAATGCGTATCGTCTAGATATTATTGAGATGTTCATGTTAAGATTGCATGATAATAATAGAGGTAGCACTAATTATGTTAGTACTGTGAGAATTGCATTGTGATGCTTTAATTAGACGCGTGAATGACGAATAGCTCGCGCGATGATAAACTGTTATCTTGCGACTTAATTGGCAAGATACGATTTTAATGTGTAAAATTTATTGTGTAACAAAGGGTATATAAATCACGAGCTTTCGCTGTAATTCATATAGTCCTATTGAAGCTAGATAGTTTTTGGTAGTTGTGAGACGAACCTAATCTATGTAATAAAGTAAATTTACTAGAAACCGAAATTTGTTTTATTAATAAGATGATTTCATGAGTATGTTTGGAATTCAAAATGATCACTCAAAATCGGCTTGTCTTTGAAATATACATATTTAATTTATCTTAACTAATAATAGTAATAACAAGACGTTCTTTGTTGTAGTAGATGGGCTGATATCCATCTCAAATATGGTAATAATATACTATCTTCAGGCATAAATGGTAGTCTTCTTACAGTGCTAAGAAATACTATACAATCTAAACCTTTAGCAACATACTACCGTATGTGTTGCTAAAAATGCATCACCAAGTAAATTGTTGATTTGTTGTTGGTTAAATTAAATGTCTGTGGCTTTAATACTAGCCAATGATGATATAGTTTAGTTTTTAAAATATTATTTGAAGTTTAAAGTTTAGAGTCGGACTTTGCATCAAGAAATATATAAGTGGTCTGTTAGCTAGACTAAGATCATTTAGAAGTCATTCTTTTCAAACGTAGTCGCTATTGCCGCAAGAACATTATCGCCTATAATACTGTCCTAACTATAGCTTAGCTTAAGATCATAAAATTGTACGACAATAGTTTAACTTATAGATTTTAACACTGTGTAAGTGATCACTATAGACACTTGCAATGTTGTAATATTTTGTAGCAATACTTGGATGATTGTCGCCAAGTTGTGTCAGATTAATCTTGAGTGACTTGTTATACATTGATAGAGCGTCATCATACTTGCCTTGACGATTATAGACACTTGCAATGTTGTGATATGTATCATCAATACTTGGATGATTGTCGCCAAGTTGTGTCAGTTCAATCTTGAGTGACTTTTTATACATGGATAGAGCGTCATCATACTTACCTTGACGATTATAGACATTTGCAATGTTGTTATATGTATCAGCAATACTTGGATGATTGTCGCCAAGTTGTGTTAGTTTAATCTTGAGTGACTTGTTATACATTGATAGAGCGTCATCATACTTGCCTTGATGATGATAGACACGACCAATGTTGTTATATGTATCAGCAATACTTGGATGATTGTCGCCAAGTTGTGTTTGTCGAATCTTGAGTGACTTGTTATACATTGATAGAGCGTCATCATACTTGCCTTGATCATCATAGACACTTGCAATGTTGTGATATGTATCAGCAATACTTGGATGATTGTCGCCAAGTTGTGTCAGTTTAATCTCGAGTGACTTGTTATACATTGATAGAGCGTCATCATACTTGCCTTGACGATGATAGACAGTTGCAGTGTTGTTATATGTATTAGCAATACTTGGATGGTTGTCGCCAAGTTGTGTCAGTTTAATCTTAAGTGACTTGTTATACCTTTTTAGAGCGTCATCATACTTGCCTTGATCTTTATAGACATTTGCAATGTTGTCATATGTATCAGCAATACTTAGATGATTGTGGCCAAGTTGTGTCAGATTAATCTTGAGTGACTTTTTATACATTGATAGAGCGTCATCATACTTGCCTTGATTAGCATAGACAATTGCAATGTTGTTATATGTATCAGCAATACTTGGATGATTGTCGCCAAGTTGTGTTTGTCGAATCTTGAGTGACTTGTTATACATTGATAGAGCGTCATCATACTTGCCTTGATCATCATAGACAAGACCAATGTTGTTATATGTATCAGCAATACTTAGATGATTGTGGCCAAGTTGTGTCAGATTAATCTTGAGTGACTTGTTATACATTGATAGAGCGTCATCATACTTGCCTTGATCATTATAGACAAGACCAATGTTGTTATATGTATTAGCAATACTTGGATCATTATTTTCAAGAATTTTCAGTTTAATCCTTAATGATTTATTGTATTCTTTTAATGCCTCGTCATGCTTGCCTTGATTGTAGTAGACCAAGCCAACGTCATGATAGGACTCACAGACATCAAGATGTTCACTCCCTAACGATTTTAATTTTATTTGAAGTGATTTGTTGTAATCACTCAAAGCACCCTTAAAATCACTTTGAAGTCGTTTACAGTCGCCCTGGATATCGAAACAATAAGAAATCTTGACCTCTTCTAGTTTCTTAGCTAACTTTTCTGCTTTTCCACTGTATTCATTGGCTTCTATCAATTGATATTTTTGCCGGTAAGATTGAGCCATAGCGAGATAAATAGAATATTCAAGTTGACGACGACTATCGCTACTCTCCGCTATCGATTTGATTCGAGTTACAGCTTTCTGAAAATAAAATAACGCGTCTTCATAATTGCCTTCGCCATGATATTTCACGCCCTTTTTGCGTATAGATTCAATCTCGTCAAATATC